ACTTATGTGAAGGATTTTGCTCGAAGCTCCTTTCAAATAACCTCTGTGAAACCCAAAGACTTCCGACTGAAAAAGACCCGAAGTTGGTTTTAACATGTTCTTGATCAGCCTATGACCTTCTCTCAAGAAATGAGCTATGGATAGGGATATGCATGTGGTAATTCACTGGAGCACGACCAAAGTCATAGGGTGGACATGGAATTAGGTCCATCAGGAGAAATCCAGGACTCATGAGTTTTCCTGGATTTTTGTAGAAACATTGGGTCAAAGGGTAAGAAAAAAGTAGTCAAAGTCATCAAAGTTATGTTTCTTTTCAGCCTGTTGAAGGTGCGATCAAGCTGTTAGCAAGAGTAGCAATAGCTGTAGTACAGATTGGTAGGAGGTCCTGAAGCTCGATTCTTCTCGCATCCTTAATGGCAAGTTGAAGTGTGCTTTCCTGAAGAGAATGGGTTTCGGTTTCGGAACCAATCACTTTTCATTGCCACTGACACTCTTGGATCGCTAGTCGAAGATACTATGGGAAGCCAAGAGAGCTTAGCCATGTCTGGTCGATTTCAGAGGGCTGGTGAGTGCTGAGCACTGCAGAATCAAAACTTCAGCCCTCAGATCTTGCCTCAGTTATAAGTATATGGAGATGCCTGAACTTTGACGCCCTGTTGCTGCTAATCTGCTCTGCCGATTACCTGCTAGTGCGTTAGTGGATCAGGATTGGTAGTAGCAGGCGGCCACTGTGTATGTGTATTTTCTTCAGATAAAATGAGTTCTCTTGAAGTAGAGTGTGGTGTGCCGTCGTGTAAAGGAGCATAACTATGTCCATCGTTTGGTGGTGGTTTGCACAGGCGATTCTAACAAGACAGTCTCGGCACTCATAGAATATAAGGTTTTTAAAGGGAGCCACAATGAAGTGCAGTGATAGCCGGTAAAACAGCGAGCAGTTGAGCTAGATAGTGGAATGAGGTTGTGGAAGTTCGCCTATCAAACAATACATATATCAAAACCTCAAAATTTTTTTCAAGAATTTCCGCAGCAGAAAGTGTGAAATGTTGGGGGGGGACTGAGCAGATTTCAATGCCTCTGACAGAGAGTGTGGTATCTACAGGATCTAGGCATCAGTGTTGAAAGAGGCTCGCAAATGGTTTCCAAGTACTACAATGTCCATACCAGTATCCAATTGTCTCAAGTGTAGCAATGCTGTAAAGTGTCAAATCAACTAAACAGGAAATACTGCGTTGCCCGCGATATCACGCCCCGGATGTAGAGAGCTGCACTCTCTGGCGGGTCTAACAATAAACGGCGATCCTGCACGAACAAAAGAATTGCCTGCGGCGAGCAATTAGACTCAAACCGACCGCTTGAAGAAGTAAGCTACGCTTACTGCCAATAACCAAATATCCACGGCTCACGTGAAAGAGGTGAAAAAAACATAGTGCAGCTGGGTCCAGAGCAAAAAAAACGCAATCTGGAGCTATAAACATTGACTGAATAGATTTTTTTTTAAAAACCCAGTAAAAATTTCGGTTCTATTCAGTACGCGTCTCTTTTTGTCTTGTTCCTGCACCTTTAAGGAACAGGGTAGAAGTGCTGCAAAATTGCAGTACGACATGTAGTCAAAAGATAGATGCGACCAGGGCACATCATTGGTTGGGAATTTCGGTCGAGTCCGTACGACCCCCCACCACCCCATTTTTTCAGGGGGCTGGTACGACCCCCCCCCTCGACAGCTCCTCTGATCGAGCTGTCGAGCGGGGTGGTGTATATAGTACACATGAAACAGACAAAATCACGAAAAGTCAGGCAACGGAAATACGACCCTCCCCACACTCCCACCAACGAACGAACACGACCCCCCCCCCTTTTAAACGTCCGTGAAACAAGAAAAATCAACTATCAGATTGAATTTTTCCAGCCCAGATACGGCCCCTCCTTTCCCAACGACCAAATACTACCCCTCCCCCCTCCTGTTGGGAAATCCCCAACAACGAGTGACCTAGATGAACAAAGCCGTTCAGGAGACCAAATATGAACCATATTGGCATTTCGAGTGATACCTTCTATAGTTCAAGACAGAACCGTGAAACAATGACCTATTCAAATGTCTATTGAATTCCTAGGTTTTCATCCTAGCTGCGAAATTCGCACATGCGACAGGCATGTGGGACCAGCTGAGGCTCAGGTGGGCGGTAAGCTCTACCAAGCGCAGCTTAAAATTTTTCACAGATGACTAGAAAAAAAAGATTTAGAGTTATCATGGCAGCTGCTCACCTGTTCGACTTCGTGTTTCTCCATACTAAACGTTATTCGTTCCCTACTTGTTTCTTCTGGATGAGATTCGGGCAGGAGCATTCGTTCAGCGGTCAGCATGAAGTCGCTATGAAAACCACCAAACGATGCGAGACGATTGTACGGGAACGAGCGAATCACGTCCTTGAATCAAACCATACTGATTTTACTCGTTAACTGGTAACGAGTTTACTGATTTTAAAGCAGGGCACATCATTAGTTGGGGATTTTGGTCAAATCCGTTACGACTCCCCCTTTTTTAAGGCGGTTGGTACGACCTTCCTTTCTCATCCTACCTATCCTTTCCAAGATCCCCCAGCTTCCTACCAATTTTTCCAGAATTTTCCCAAGAACGGTCTTATTTTTGCTCAAAGATTTTGCTGTGAAGCGGGGAGGGGGGGGGGGGTGAATAGCACAAATGAAATGAGGAAGACCGCGATAAGTCAGCAACCTATCTCAAGGTCAAAGGAAAGCCTCCCTTTCCCCAACAAGAGCAAATATGCCCCAGCGTTCACAACGTCCTTGATACAAAGTAAAAATCAAAATATCGAATAAAAATTTTTCCTCAAGACAAACTACGACCTTTCCACTTCCCTGCTTGCAATTCCCCAATGAGCCCCTGTTGCTAATATGCGCCCTGTTTCTAAAGTAATTTCCGGATACCCCAAGTATTTTGGACTTTCAGGGAAAATGCATTTGAAAACCGGTAAAATAGACAAAACGTACGAAATGCCGATGATCGACGATATGGACGGCTGTGTCGGATAAGGCGAGGAATACCTTCCGTTCATTGCTGGTTCTCATTCCAGCCGCTTGCAGAATGGCATCGCAACAAACTGGCCTTTTCGAGTACCTGTAGTGATACATCCAAATCATTTGCGGTTACCGAGGAGTTTACCAGAAACTTCGAATGCCGATTCTCCACATGATCTCGAGCTCACACGCTACATTGCATAATGCCAGCCCATTGTCAAGTTATCAGGCGCTTTTCTCGAGAAATGATGTATTGTCAGTCCGCAGATGTTCATTGTGAAGCATTGGACGAGTCATTATAGTCAGGTCATATCTTCAGGGGGGGGGCAGAAGTTCTACGTTGCTGCGACGTGGAACGGCGGTTGTAGAGGGCGCCACGCATGTGGCGTACTGCAAGCAGGCCCGCAACGCTATTATGCTTCATTGATGTCAGCCATTGTATCAAATCAAAGACCGAAGAGTCTCCGCAGCGCAGGACACTGTTTTGCAATGCATTCGTCCTTCTTAATCGGAAAAGGAGGTGTGTGTCTCCTCAACCATGTTATAAACTCTTAAGGCTCGCGTCCACAAGTCAGAACCTACCGAAGGTCTCCGTGTGCGAATTTCAATGCGGAATAAGCAGCGGAAATCTTAGAAAAAAGCTACGTGTTTGTGCCAAAAAACTGTACTCAACACCAAATCGAAGCAGTTTCAAGGTCCGATAAGTAGCGGTCAAAAGGCAATAAAATAGGCGAGATCTAATGCCTTCATCGCTTCCATGTTCCTGCCTTGAGCCTGCCGATCCACAAGATATGTAGGTTCACAACCTAACCGAGGCGTGGCAGATCAACGCATGAAGGCTCTTCAGCCAATAGTCCTGCTTTGTAGCCGATATGCGATGTTGAAGCTGCGTCCAATTTTTCAGGTGTTTAGTACAGGATTGCAAAAGTGCCCAGCATTGCTAGTTGTCGTGTTTGCAGCTTATTCGCTTGCACGCTCTCTCGCTGCTTTTGCCTGTCCACTCTCTCCCAAAATCCTCATGCAGTTCGTTGCCTCCTCGCTCAGGCAACAGGGCCTCAATGCTTTCTTTCTCGTTTTCTGGGCTTTTTTTTACGAGCAAGTCAACAAGCGAGTACTCTGCCGTCTTCCAGCAAGCGCTACCCATGAGCTTCTCGGCGGCTTCCCGCGATATCTGCTTTTCAGGAGCAGTCCACATTGAAGGCAGATCCCTTCGTTTGATGTTCCCACGCATGCTTTGGATATGGTAGCCCTTCTTACAAGGATAGATGATGTAGTATTTTCGCAACTGTAAATACGAAAGGAAAGTCTGTGAAGGAATTGCAGCCCTGCTCAACGTTTGATTCTAATTGCTACCTGGTTGTCTCTCTACCGTCTCTGTCCACTTTGAATGGTGAGGGTGAGGTTATGAGGAGAGAGAGCTGGCACGGGGAAGTAAGAGTTTGGAAGACCACTTCTAAGACGGTAAAAGATTGGGAGCGCTAGTAAAGGAGGGACAATGGTAGCTCTGGTTAATACAAGCGTGGAACGTCCCTTCTGGTGGATTTCCTTGCGGAGACAGGAGATTCTGGGACAAAGTGAGCAATATCCATCATCGAGATGCTCCATTATGAACTCGCGAATTAGCGCAGCATACGACTAAAATTCTGATGGCGAACAGTCTGGTTACCTACGGTACGTGACAAAAGAATCGTAATTCGCCGCGCTGATAGGCGTCGCGTGCGACGTCGCGCCAGCAAATGACGATGGTTTCAGGTCTTAGATGGCGACAACAGGCAATGTAGAACTAAAAATAGCCATAAATGTCTAAGTTTCGTAGACCACGTGAAATCTGTGGCTCTAATTGACAGGCTAACACTTTAGGAAAACGTCGCGTCCATGGCCGCGCGCGGCGGAACGGCGTACTACGATTCTCTTGCTCTTATCCTGTTACATACATTATCTAGAGAACTCATTGGAATACTCAGCCTTATATCAGAAACTCACAGAATTACGACAAGTGGCCTCAGAGGACTATTTTTAGACTCAGAGGTGAAGAATAACAATACGGAAACAATAACAAGGGGGGGGGACTGATTCACCTGTAAGATGACTTTTATTGCGTCCGATTCGCCCATTCCATTGAGTTCGCTCCAACATGAATGCAAAGACGATCTGTAAATGGATATTCGAACTGGAGAGCTATAAGATTTTTCGGAAGATCTCACCTCAGCGATTTCAAACAGGCCACGTCCAGCATTTTTGCAGGGAAGAACTGCTTAGTGATGAAAACGAACTGCTCGTCCGAAATCGCTTGCGGTGGAGCGTCTCCGAAGGAGAGCTGGAAATGCACAGACGTTAATTTCTAGAGTACGAGAATACCTGGAAGAAAGGCGTAGCGAAACATTAAAATCAGAAGGAGAAAAATTTACAAGTCGTCAAAAATGTTCAGCTAGCATTTGGATCTTAAAGGCAGTTGACACGATAATGCGGCACTGTTCTCAAAATGCTAAGGGCCCTTTATAATGGAAAAATGGCGATAAAACGGAATGAAACGGTCGAAAACCTGCGAAAAATGTATTTCTCAATGACCCCAAAAAGCAATTTTGGACGAGTTTCCCGTAGGCATCTTGCCAATAACCGCTACGTAGGTACGGCTGCACATATGTACTCATATATCCATGCAGCACCGCAGCCGCTTCATACCAATCCCTTCTTTCATATTTTACTTCACAAATGAAGCAGTACGAGCATGGGAATGTCGTCCATTTGTGGGCGGGCTTTGGGTCGGTATGTTGTAGCTTGACAGGGCCTTATAAGGGTACCTTCGTTGGAAAAGACGCTACGCAGCGCCTGCTCAGGGTCGCGGAATTCCGTCCTGCCAGGCGTATTAATCCTACTCGTCTTAGGGATTTATCGTGCCAACTGCCTTTGAAGTAGTAGAGAAGTGCTGATTCCGAGGAGTACAGAATAACTTTCAAGGCGCAGATCAGAGTAGGGGCTATTTGTGAAAAAGCTCATAAAAGAGGTCAATGTGGAGGGCGATTAAGGCCGTACAAAGAACTCATTGATATGGGGAGGGATGTGTATTACTTGGGACGGTAGAAATCTCTAGTCACCTCAAGACATCCTCTTGATGCTCTTTATACCGCCTATACCCTTCATATAGCTTCCCTTAGCCTTGATTACAGATTATAACGACTAGGCGGCGCTCAAAGAGGAGCTCTCAGCCTTTCGAAAACCATACCGCCTCTGAGGCGTGCCTAATAAGGACGGCTTGATGGCGATCTGGATCGTTGTCAAAATGTGAGGATGTTTCGAGGTGACTAGAGATTTCTACCGTCCCACGTGATACACATCCCTCCCCATGGACGCATATACCTAAAGAGGTAGACGAGCTTGGATTTGTAGGTTAGCTAGGGTCGTGCTGACACCAGCTGTTGTTAAGGGTCTGTAATAATTGCCGCCGTCCCCCTCTCCCTCCCTTGATGCAATGTGGTTCCAGGAGGCCATCTTGGCATTCCGTAGCTGCTACACCTGTGTACTGATAATGATGTTCGAAAGGATAGTTGAGATGGCGCAATGCTTGCCTTTAACTTTACCCTTTTCTGCCCCTCGTGGATGCGGCACGCATTCTACTTCCATTCAGAATCGTAGTGGCTTATTGAATGCGATGTGGCCTATACAATGACTTGCGGTGGCCAGCCGATGTACAAGTCAGTGTTTTATCCTCCCAGACGAATCTGGTACCAATTCACCGTCCCCGGAGGGTAGAAGGCTTGGTTGGCCTGGACCGGAGTCGACTCGGAACTCAAAACCGGGACCGCGCGAGTGGTAAGCGCGCCATTTGTCACTACGTCACCTCCGTCTCACCAAACCCTTCAGAACCCTTACCCTTTTCTGCCATACCCTTCAAAAATCGGGCCATACCTCAGTCGCGATTTCTCCCCGGGGATATCATTGGCCAGAGCTCCAGAATACTTCTCACCCTTCAGAAACGAAAGGTGCCAAAAGGTTTGGCGCCTGCATCTTGAGGGCCTGTGCCTGTAGCCAACCCGGCTCCGGCGTAGTGCGTATAATAGACGTGTTCATGCCGAGCGCCACGATATCAGTAACCTAAAGCGAAATTCTAGTGGAAACTACCCGGAAAAAATTTTCAATCCACGTCCAGCTTGAATGTCGATGTTAGCACACTAAGAGCAAAAGCCGGGACCCTCATGCTACCCAGTGCAAGTTTTACTATTTAATTCTATTTCCTCTACCTCTCGTGTGAACATTTTCATAACAATTTGAAAAATTCGAAAAGGAAGAACCTAAAGGAAGATCGGTTACCTGTGCATAGAGCGCAGCTAGTTGTTCAGCCAACTGGGGGCTTGTTGGAATACGACTGTCTACCAGCTCTTCGGCCATCCGCCACACAAGGAAAGATCGCTCCATAGGGGTCTCATTACAAGTCTGAAACACGGTATAAACCAAAGTTTTGCGACACGATTTTTGTGTTGAGACTCACCAAATGCCTCCAGTAGTGCCTCATTCGCAAGGAAAGTGTGGCTGTACACTCGGTTGGGACTCGCCCACGTAACACATCTCTCATTCGAACCTCCCATTCGTAGAGGCAATCGCATAGCTGTAAATGAGTTACGGTACCTATACTACTAACTCAAATGTCCGGGAGACGGGCAAGAGAATCGTAAATTGTCGCTTCGTCGCGCGCGGCAATGGATGCGGCATTCCCTTAATTTGCAGTACCATTATGACTGGAGCATCGATTTTGTCTATTCTCAACCAATAACACCTATACCGTCATTAGCATGCGCGACGTCGCACACGACGTCCACTGACGCGGCGAATTACGATTCTCTTGTTGAATACCCCGAATGTCCAGGACGGCTTGGGACGTGCATTTTATTACCTTTTTCTACCACGCCAGAGCATGTTTAGGAAAAAAAAACCACAGTACAAGCATCGGACCTTCCCCGAGTACGAAGGAAAAAGAATGGGCGAGTTTCCAGCCCAAGGTCCTTCGCAGCCTGCTCTGCCTTGCTGTGAAATTGAAATTGCCACTCTCTCTCGGAAGAAAAGCTAGCAGCTTCCCTCTCGCAGTAAATTACGATTTCGGGCGAGATGAGCAGTGATTGGACCAGTGAACTTCGCCAATCATTTTCTTTCCAGGCGGGTATGTGAGGTGCTTGAGCCGCTCTCAGTAATCGCAAGGTGCACCAATCATCCCATATTTTATGACGTCATAATACTTGCACAGCATTCAAAACTGGGGTAGCAGTACCTTTTGCTTTCCTTTGAGAAGTTGTAGCCCTTTTGTAGTTGGATCATCGATGTAGAGAGCATAGCCGGATAGTAAAGCAGGCCGTATTCCGAGTTTCAGGCACAGAGAGGAGAGACACTGCCCGATTTCCGTTGATCCGTCAAACTCGACCACCTGATAATACCACGTTGACTGGAGGGTGGGTCTGGCGCTGCGCCAATCACTTTTCCACCAATTGGTGAAGCGGGTAGGCGACAAGTTGGTGAAAAACGGGTTGGCGCAGCACCAAACTCAGCGAAGAAGACGTTGAGCTGGTGAACCCACCTGATACTGTCCATTGGGCAGTCGAACCGAGATCGAATGCGGGAATTTCGTGCTGGTGGGATCTCTGGTGAGAAGGGAAGTGGTCTCAAGTCGACTGGGCCCAGCTTCTCGACATCCAACTCGCAGAACTCGTTCAAGTGCACACTGACAGTATTCGGCCATATTGGACTCGTCACCTCTGCAAATTCAGGTGGTGGCCAAGGAAGGGAAAGAGTTAACAACGGAAGTGAAAAGAAATCACTTACGTTTTCATACACCATCGGGCAACGTGTTTTTTCAGTAGCCAGAGTAGGGAATACTGCGTAGGAACGAAAAGTGGAATCGCCATACCTAACAGCTTCCAGCCCTGAAGAGAACGATTTGTAAAAGTAACTGACTATCGTAGTTTTGAAAATAAAGCCTTTTCTACTGGTTGGTCGCGGCTGACTGTGGCTGAGCTATTTATGTGAATTTAAAGAAGGCCCTAAAAAACCTATTGGGATATAACTGCAAATAAACGACCCCCCCTCTCTTGTGAAGGCTTAGTACTGTAAAGGTTCTACAGATCTCAGTAGTGATTCGGGTGCATTTAG